AACACACACGTACTCTTCTATGGATAGAGTAGGGTCCATTGGCCATGTTCAGCATGGAATAAAGACTAGAGCTGCCGAAGCTAAAAGATGGAGCACATGACTTTACAGCCACATGGAGATTTTCAGAACCAGTGCCGAGAACATTCAGTTAAGGCTGCTTTGCTTGAGATGCTAATGAAATGCATTTGTCAGAGCTGATATTGCTGGACTCTAGACAGACCAGGCAATTCTTTATCTTTTGCATTTGTCTAAAAAAACAAGTTGATTCCTCTGTCTTAGTTGAAAAGCATGTCTCACACTGATCAAAACAGAAGAACAAAGGCTCAGGGCTTTCCATTCATCACCATCATATCTTCTTAAAGCCTTATTCACCAGAAGAAAGCCAGTCCTCTCCTCTTTAGCAGGCAGGTGTAATAACCAGCAATGTTGTCAATAGCTCTTTCTCCTCTCTTTCAGACAACTAATTTTGATCCTGGAGCTCTACAATCCCAATGACGTATATGACTACCTAAGACACATTGCACTAACTCTCTGTTCAGATAAAGTCTCTGAAGTCAGGTGGATCTCCTTCAAGCTGGTAAGCGATCTACTCCTCCTATACCTGCATGTATCCTTCATTAGGGGGAGGGACAGGTGGGTTCTTCCGGGGAAGGATCCTGGAGGGGCACCTGGTGGCCAGGAGCACACTGAGCCCCAGGGCCACACTGCAAAGACCACTTTTCGTGGCCTGTTGCTGGGCCGTATTAATAGACCAATCCTCCCCTGATGTTATGCTTGTCTTTTTGGCAGCTGTTAGTCTAGACTTAAGTAAAGCTGTTAATGATAGGACCTTTTGGAGATGGATAGCCCAGGCTAGCCTAATCTCATCGGGTCTCGGAAGCTAAGCAGGGTAGGCCCTGGTTAGGGTTTGGATGGGAGACCACCGAGGAAGTCCAGGGTTGCTATGCAGAGGAAGACAGTAGCAGACCACCTCTGAATGTCTCCTGCATTGAAAACCCAACGGGGTCACCCTAAGTCAGCTGCAACTTGATGGCAAAGAAAAGTTGGAAGCGCAACTTGTCAGTACCTATCATACAGAATTTACTTCAACCTGTTTGAGGCCAGTTTCCTTCCTTGCTTTTTCTTATTGCCCTATTTTTGACTGTAATTGTCCCGAAGTTGGCATTTCAGCTACCTTTTTGTCTTGAATGCTGAAACTTTTGTTTTGGACAGACAAAAGTGCCAAACGTTGGGGCATTCGTTTCACCAGCCACACTCTCTTTAGCTGTTGCCATTTGTGGCCTGATATTTTTCCCTCCCCTCCGACATTTCCACAGGTTGTAGCAATATTACAGAAGTTCTATGCCAACAGTGCAAACTCTCTGGGGTTAAATTTCATCAATGAGTTGATTGTGAGGTTCCGTCATTGTTCCAAGTGGGTCGGAAGACAAGCATTTGCCTTCATCTGCCAGGTGGGATTTACTTTTTTTCTTTTTGGGGGGTTTTGCCTTGTTGCTTGCTTGCTTGCTTGGGATGTGAATACAGAACAGAATGGCTCTAAGAAGGCACATGGCAACAGATTCTGTGAGCTGCATCATAAGTAAGCCACCCTGAAGTCCGTTGAGAAAGAGCGGGTGCACAAGTGGAATCTATTTATTTGTTTTATTAGACTTATATCCCGCCCTCCCCACATTGTAGGCTGAGGGCAGGTGGAATAAAATCGTGTGATGAATATGTATGAGAGGAGCATGGATATCTTTGATTGACCATAATAAGAACACATGAGGTGTCTGCTGGATCATACCAGCTAGTCCAGCACCCTACTTCACACAGTGGCCACCTTGTCACCCTGGAGAGTCAACAACCAGAGCATGGAAGCCAAGGCCTTCCTGGGATGCTGCCTCCTAGCCCTGGTTCTATTTTCCGGGACATGGATATTTATTTACTTCATTTATACCTCGCCTTTTCTCCTCAAGAAGAACCCAAAGTGAACTAATCTTCAGCTGTGTAAAATATCGTTCTACTCTTGCGTCGGTCCTGCTCGGTAGGGAAGTATTCCCATGTTGCTCATGTGGAGGTGACAGCAGAGAGAGCGGAGGAAGCGTCTCACCAAAGGCCATCTATTATTATTATTGTTGTTGTTGTTATTATTATTTTCTTTCAACTTGCTACCCCGCTCGAACCCCCCAGGGGGTCTCTGAGTGGCTTACAGTTAACCGTTATCCCTTACCTATGGCCACATATATACTGGGGTGGGGACTGTCCTGACAGCACCCAGTGGAGGGACGTTATTCGATCTTCTTCCTTCTGGAACGGCTCGTCGGCCGTGAGTTTATGTAGTGAGTTTATGGCCAAGGCGAGATTCAAAACGGGCTCTTCCTGTTTCCTAGTCAGCCGTGCTGCCCGTGTGCTCTGTCCTGCAACAGCATGTGCCCAGTATTGTCATCATGTGGCTCTTGACTGCTGTTTCTACTGAAAGCCAGTAGACTCTGTCTCCTGCTAACAATGGGACTGGTCTCTGCTTGCTGTTTGTACAGGCAGTGGTGGAAGAGGAGTGCATGCCGGTGAACCATTTTGTTGAACACCTGCTGCCCAGCCTCCTGAGCTTGGCTTCTGACCCTGTGCCAAATGTAAGGGTTCTGCTTGCCAAAGCTCTGAGGCAAACGCTGTTGGAGAAAGGTATGTGTTCTTTTCGTTCTACTTACTTGCAGCCTTCCCTGGAGCCCAGTGCAAAGTGAGAAATCACCCTTCCGTTAGATTACTTTGAAGGGTGGTGGGGGTTGATCCCTTGTGCCTAGACTAGTGTCTGAAAAATGCACAAGCACGTGCTGAAGTTCTCTGTGGCTGGCTTTTAAGTTAAGTTATCTGGAGGTGGAGGAGTCGCTAGAGTTTAACTTATGGTCACCACAGGCAATGTGCCTCTTGTGAGACCCATGGTTAACTTTTTTTAGGTAGATACTGAACATTGAGGAGCTGCGGTGGCTCAAGTGGTTAAGACGCTGAACTGCAGGCTGTGGAAGGTCAGTAGTTCAGCAGTTCGAGACCCGGGTGCCGCAAGACGGGGTGAGCTCCCGTCTCTAGTTCCAGCTCCTGCCAACCTAGCAGTTCGAAAGCAAGAAATTGCAAGTAGATAAATAGGTACCACTTCGGTGGGAAGGTAACAGCATTCCGTGCGCCTTGGTGTTTAGTCATGCCGGCCACATGACCACGGAAACGTCTTCGGACAGCGCTGGCTCTTCGGCTTGGAAACGGAGATGAGCACCGCAACCCTAGAGTCGGATTCGACTGGCTTTCGAGCAAGGGAACCTTTACCTTTACCTTTACTGAACATTGTGGTCCAACTAAAATGTGCTTCTTTGCTTTGTAGCTTATTTTAGAAGTGTGGGCAACCCTCATCTCGAAGCTGTGGAAGAGACTGTTCTGGTTCTGCAAGCGGACAGGGATCAAGATGTGGCCTTTTTTGCCACCATCAAACCAAAACACCAGACTGTGCACATGACTTCACTTGAGAAACAGAATTGACTTCCTTTGTCTCTGTGGACCACAAAAGTTTCTGGCGACTCACCAGGAAGGAAGACTGCACCAAGCAATCAATGCAACCCAAGAGAAAAGGGCTTGTTCTTAATCCAGTCATGTAACTGAGGGACGTGTGGACGTATCCGCAAACTTGGCAACGTTATTTGGAATACTCAGCCACCGTACTTTCCCCAGCTCCCTTTTAACAGACATGGGGATTAATGCTGAGCTCAATAAAAAGTCCAGTATTTATATCTGCGTTTGTGTGAAATGCACGTATTCTCAGCTTCCGCATTCTCCAAGGTAACAGGAATATGCCTTTTGAAATTTGCTGACTCAAGGACAAAGGAATTGCTTGGTCACCACTTCAGGCTTGAGCTAATATGGTCAGCAAGTGTAAAAACCACGGACACTCAACACCCATTTTGTTACTAACCTACTCTGTTGTTTGTGGCATTTCATTTTATGGTATCGGTTTACTCAACATGTACATATGAAACTCTGCAAAGGATTTGGAAAACTTGAATCTGTATCTGTAACAAAAAAGGTCATTTTTTAAAAAAGGCAAAAAATGCAGCAGTTGTCTAGTTAGAGCAAGGAAATTTTTTCTTTTTGTCAAAGATAGATGATTTTTTTTTTTAATTCACTTTGTGAACTGTGGCATTTCAGTCTTGTGTGTTGGTGTGTGTTAAATTAAAAACCCAGCCCTTTGTAGTGGTTGCTTTCCTTCATTCATGCTAACCTTCAGTCTCTTCTGCTTGCTAGAGCTGCAAGACAGACATAGTCCTCAGATCACTAACGTGGACGTAGTTCACGTGCTTCTGTTTGGTCTGCCCTGAAGTAAGCGGTTTGAGATTTGTGGGTTCGAATTGTTAATACTTTGGTAGTGGAAATTGGTTTTGCATTTTGTAAACTCTGTCCAAACACTCCTCTTTTTAAATGTATGGGTGACATTCAATGAAATCCAAAATGTGAGTTCTTGAGGTTCAGAAAACCATTTGCTTGTATGTAAGTGAAAATTCTGAATATCTGGGTTTCTGTACTTTGCCCAATGAGAATCCATTTTTCTGATGGAGATCAGAGGGAACTACAGTGTGCTGTTTAGCTTGTGAAGGTTGCTGGCCGGGATTCAGCAACTGTATGTAGGGTTCCACGTGTACAGTAATCGTGGATTTTCAGCCAACTCCTTCCCCAAGCTGCCTTTGGGGGGGGGAGGGGGCTCGGTGGTTAATTATTGTAAACTCTGCACCCTTGGACTTGGATATTCATTGTTCAGGTTCTGTATTACATATAAGAACCTTGGAAAGGTAATGAAATCTGTTTTGCTAAGGCAGATTCACTGGTTATGTTCTTTGTCCAAGGATTCCCCAGAAAGGAATCCTATTTCTAGATACTCATGGGATCTGTCAGTATGACAGGCACACAACTTCTCTGGGAGCTCCTGAGTTTACTAACTTCAGAAACCCAGATTTCATGGGTTGTACACAAGCAAATTTGGTGTGTGGCACAGGTGTTCATTGAGGATTGCTCACAGGAGTGTTGAATTAAATTTTAACTAGTGTGGCCACAACCCCCCTACCCCACCCGGTTTCTGCAGAAGGGCCTTATCGGTTATGAAACTGGACCTTCACGTTTTCTTTCCCTTGAAATGTGAACACTCTTACAGGGGGCACTCAATATAATCTTAAGGCCCTGAAGCATAATTGGATCAAAAATGAGTTACTAAAACGTGTTGCAGAGAAACAAATCTCATTGAATAGCAAGTAAATATATTCTGTTCAGCATTTGTGTAGATCACAGTGTTGCATTAAGTGTCAGCTTAGCTCCTGGTAAATTTTCTCAGTTTTGAGGAATTAAAAGAAAAGAAGTTTAATTTTTCCACAATTGCCTATCAAACTCAGGCCATGAAAAGTGTTGTTCCATATCTGCAATACCGTGTTTAGCATCTGTAATAACATTATTTGCTTTGCGGGTTCCTCGACTGCTTTTAGAGATGATCTATAGAGCAATGTGTCTTTGCATAAAACATCTGCGTAAGCTGTGAATTCTGCAAGGGAATTCTGTGCTTAAACGTTTTAGTAAGTTGGAAACAAATGCCTCTTCAATGCAAATGAATATGTATGACTGCAATTTCTCAGAAAAAAATGACAATTTTTTTGTAATTTTAATATCTTTTTCTAATGCTAACATTATATGAGTGTTTTTTTAACAGTTCAGATTTTTCTAAAAATTTTCAAACCAGTTTTTTTTGTCTTTCTGTTGACTGTGACAGGTTGTTAAATTTCTCAGCACTGATAATTGCGTTTTTTAAAAAGTGTACATAGGAACGTTTGAAAAAGAACTGTATATAGCCTGTTCTTTGGACATAACCCAGTTTTTGGCTGCCATATCGTGAGTTTTAGATTGATATATACCCTTTGCTGCACTAGTCCAACTAAGTATCATAAACTTCCACATGTCTTTTAGAACGTTGGTGTAGTTTCCATGAAGGGTTTTTTTTGTATCACTTGTGCATGAGTAAGTCACTGAATTTAATTTTTACCGATATGACAAATCAAATTTTACATTAAAAAACACATTTTTTCCTAAATCCAGACATTTTGTCCTTTTTGAAAATGTGATTTTTGAAAACAGTTTAAGAATCTATAGTTGCATGTACTAGAAAAGAGAGTTTTGTGCAGTTCTAGCCAACTTACTTTCCCCCTCCCCACACCTTTCCTACCTTGCAGTCTCCTGTCACTAACTCAAGATACCAGTGTGTGTCTAGGGGGGGTTGCATTTGGTTTACTATTGGCAATCCGTGTAAACTGCAAAGAGTATGACTGGATGGCAGCACCTTATAGATCGTTTTAGAGAAAAAAGACAAGACACGTGCAACAGAGATGAAAGTAAGCACATTCACTGTTTAAATTACGTCAACATTCTCTTTCAGATCATCACAACTAAGCGAAAGTTTGTTAATTTAGCTACCCTTCCCTTGTAAAAGCTGCAAGGGTTTCACTTTCAAACACGTTTGGATAAGGGACGTGGAAAATAACCTTGGTGGTGCAATACTGAAATATCGGGCGCTTGTAATCCAAAGCATGTTCGTCGTCTGACTGAGAAAACAACCCTGCTGTTATCTGCTGTATATGGTTATGAACTTGGCGCCTTCTGGAAAACCTTCCCGAGTGGCAGATGTATGTCTGTAAACAACAGTGTTTAGGGCCCAAATAGATGGAGACACTCTGGAAGTGCCGCTGATTTTGTCAAGAGCATAGAATCTATGTATCTTTCTATTCATATTTATCCTAATAAATCGCGTGACTGTTTTATCAAATGTCTTTTTTCTTTGTTTATTGATCTGCACCACAATAAGAACATGTTCTTTTCAGTGCTCGACTAGAATGTCAAGAACTCCGTATTAAACAATGGGCCATGTTGACTGTATCCCAGCAACATACTGGAAGGAGGAAAGGGAAGAGCTTGGTGCTAAGCCCCTGCTTTAGTCTGTTCAGTATCCACCTGCTTTACTGGAGATGGATTTAGAGGAGGCCTCGCTCACCTGACTACAGAAGGTTGTGTTTCCTCTGCCACTAGCAGCAAGCTTGCAGGGATGAGCTCCCCCAGCTACAATATGACATCACACTGGAGGCGTCCTGGTGAGTTGGCGCACGCGCATTGTTCCTGTTTGATGACACCGTTGCTTTGATGTTTAGAGAATCAGGCAGCAGCAACACTCTGATGAATGGTCGCCTTTGAAAGATGTTGAACAGGAGAAAAAGGAAAGACAGCGTCGTTTCTTCGAGCAAGATGGGGGTGACTTTTCACTTGAGCACCCTGTTGCAACGGCAGCACTCGGCACGCTCAGGGGATTTTGTTAACTCCATCCGGTTTTTCAGTATCAAACTGCACATTGTTGAAACCGAGGAGACCTTTCCTGTGCCTGAATGTCACCGTGACTTGATGATGGGCAGTCTGAAGTCCCGACTGGAGCTGCTGGTTGGGATCCCTGTGAATTTCCAGCGCCTTCAGTATCTGGATGAAGGTGAGGTCTCTTTGTGTACAAAAGCTGTGTCTGGCCCTTTAAAATGTCTCAAGAAAATGGTCCTTTCCTTGCATGGTCAGATCACTTAAGGCAGGGGTCCCCAACCTTTTTGAGCCT